TAGAGAAAAGTCAGTGTTGCCAACTTGCTTTATTCGCCTCTATCAAAGACTGATGGAGCAATAGCTGTTAAATGCGTCCCAGGCGTTTCAAATTTGATGCGAGCAAGTACAATTTTTTTATTATTATTATTTTATTTTATTTTATTTTTTTGGCATTATATTCTGCGTGTTAATTCTAAACACTTCATCCGATAAGAACAACTAAAAACCTGAAAACCCCCTTTTTTCAACAAATAGGTGAAGTTAAGAAAAATTATGAAAACACCTACTTTTAAATGCGTCAACCATCTTTAATTCCTAAATCATCCTTTGAGGATTATATGTTCAAAACCTTTTACCTTTAAATGGTGATGCGAATTTTATTCACCCGCGATGGCATGAGTGGTCTTAAAAAAATAAAACGGAGTAAGATACCAATTGAGATACAATTTTAAAACAAATGTAATTAGTATGATAGTCCATTAAGTGGTAGGATTAGAAGATCATACATTTGGCACAATCAGAAGAGAAATACGAAAGAAAACAAGAAAAAAAAGAAGATACGGGGAAAAAGAATTGAGAGGAGAGAACTCGCTAAATTTTCTTCGTGTGGAAGCTTTATGTACTAAGAGATAAATGCATGTATGAAAAAAAAAAGTGTATACCCTGGTAAAAATTGGCAGTAGAATCTGTGTTCCAAAACACCATAGACCTACAGCCAGCTGTAAGATTTCCAGTAGCTTCTATAGCCGGCAACACAATTTCTTATAGCCTTTTATAGCCGATGGCGATTAAGCCACAGCCAGGCGATAAAGTGTATGCTAAACGTTACTAATTACGGATGCTAGGACATAGTGAGTTTTTGGACTACTGCTCTCTTTTTGGGCCGTAGTACCTTGATTTATTTTGCGAGGAAAGCTCCGTACTTTTGATGGATGCCTGCCATTCCTAATATTTTAGCGCGCCTTCAACTTCGTATGATACTGTGCAATACCCCTAGTGTGAAATAGTTGCTTCAAGCGCCGTGGCACGCTGCGGCGCGGCGGGCGGGCGGCCAGCGCGAAACGCGCATTGGTGCCTACAAACCTAACAGGGATACTTCTTGCGTTGCGCAATGCATGAAGTATCCCTGTTAAGTTTGTAGGCGCCAGTGCGTCGCCGCTCCGCTTTGCGTTAGGCTCTAATATTTAATCTGGCGGAGTCAGCGTTTTTCAACTCAGGATTTTGAAATGTTTGCACGCTCTGTGTAGATTATTCTCATTTTGATTGATTAAAAAAAAATATGTATTAAAGGAAAATATAATGTATATTTTGTAAATATTAAGGTGGTTCCATATCAAACTTAATGATTTTCAAAGCACACGAATTTCTACACAATTTCTTATAACCTTTCATAGCAGATGGCGATAAGGTGTAAAATCCGGCGATAGGAACTATAGCCCGCCTTCATAATTTTTCATAGCTTCGTATTGCCCGGCTCTATGATTTTCTCCGCTTTCTACAGCCAGCTTTATGATTTTCTACCGCCTCCTTTAGCCGGCTATAATAATTCTTATAGTACTGTCAAACGCAGCTCCTATCGCCAATTTTTACCAGGGTAGGTATATACTCAAGAAATCAACAGTAGGTTGACTTATATTGCACTTTTACCCCCAAATATTTCTCCACCGTGTCACAGAGTACCCTAATTGTGTCAATTAATTTTTATCGAAACTGCTTTCAAGCAAAAGCAACGTGTTCACAAGTCTTTGAAAATTTGCTTTTTGGAAACCCTGTGATTTTGAATATTTAAATTTGTAAATTGCTAAAAGCTCCTTCAGTGCTTATTTCGAAAACTGGAAAAAAGTTGACCTGCAGCTATATTTACAAATATTGAAATAACTGTATGAAAAGGATCGAAGTAATACGTAAGATTGCCCAACTGTTCGTGCTCAGCACTATAACGAAAAGTCTCTTAATTTGTTGTAATAGCCAATAATGCTTGTCTATTTTTGATTATTTCTGTGAGAACACAAGAGGGAACGGACAATTCTACAATAAGATTTCAAAAGATAATCCCAACGTAGAAGAGAATAGTAAGAATAGTGATGACTATAAATGTAATAAAATAGGTTTTCAAAAATTTTCCCCTTCCAGTAAAAACATAGATTAAAAAAAAAAAAAAAAAAACTGACGAAATGTGTGCGAAAAAACTTACCTAAATCCTAAGTGACGTTAGTCTCATTGACCACAGAGTCAATCAACACCGCGCAGAGTTAATATAGGCGGCAGGTGCATGGGAGACATTGACACAGTGACAGGAGATGGAGTGCTAAAGCGAGAGTTCATTGTATCTTGAGTTATCACCGAGGAGTAAATTCTTTTTCCACACTGACGTACTTCGCTCGCACACACGCACAGAGGCGCTCAATCAATCCATTCCCACCGAAAGAAAACTGTGGAAAAAGCGAGCCGCAGAAAAAAGAGAGAAAAAGTGACATAAGTTCATTGATAAGAGAGATAGGTCGTCGCTATCTCACCACTCGTAGTCTTCTTATCTTCCCCTCCCCTCTCCAGACAATCTTGGAAGCAACTTTGCATCTTTAACTGCAGCATACTTAAACACGCGCGGTCGCACAGGGGAGCTCGCTCAGGTCGAAATCGGATCGCTTTAAGGTATGTTACACCAAAGAGCGTCGTCGAAAAACGGGTCTTTGGTGCCCATTTCCTGGGAACCTAAGAATTTCATTCAAAGTAGGGGGTACACCCCCTGATCGCTTCGCTGTCCAACTCCGTGAAGCGCCTCGCGCCTGAGGCGTTATGCGTTACGCGTTACTCTCACGATGGTAATGTGCTGGTTACACGCTCTTTCCATCAATTTCCGATCAAATGGTGACTGGTGCGCACCAACTACCATCAAATTTCTGCGGCCTGCAAAAATTTGATGGCAGATGGTGATGGAGCTGTGGGGCTCACCCTTCGTCTGATTTCCACGCAACCGTGCTTATTTCATGCTTATTTCAATCAACACGCTGTTTTAATTCATTTTACTCATCAATCTAGATAACTCTCGACCGCCATCTTGGTCATCATTTTGATCGGAATTTGACGAAAATTTGAGCGTGTAACCAGGCCATAAGATTAAAATAACATCGTACTTTGAGGCAACCCGCTTTGCGAAGCAATATTGCTTTAAATAAATATGGGCATAAATACCAGTGGCGTGGCGTGCTTTGCGATATATCGATTGTTATGCCATTTAAACCTATGGAAAAGGATCGATAAACAGGGTGTTCGCAGCGAACACCTTAATAATCGACCACAGGTTCACCACAGGTTTGAATGGCCGATTAATCGATACCTACATCGCAATTTACGCCATGCCACCGATGAATACTTCCAATTTAGAGTCGGTCCCATACTCGTGCGCCAGGAAGAAATATTGGCAAGTACGAAAGCTCGTTAAGGTCACATTATTCTCATTAATATTGTTGGTGCTAATTATTTGCCTCGATGTTCATATTTTTGCCACCGCCATTCTTTTTTTCTTCTTTTTTTGGGGGTGGGGGCACTAAATATTATAGCTATGATTGCGGAAAAGTTGGTGCGATATTCCATTCAAAATCCCCAGTTGATATTGCTGGGAATATTTTCTCGCAGTATTGTAGAATATTCCTCAAGAACAAGGTCCCTATTTCCGCGGATATCATGGTATAAATATTTTGAAAGTATTGTTGGAAGTATTCGCAACAAAATCACTCGCTGATGTTGCATGGAACATTGCATCAATATTAGCGTAATACGTCCATTCGTTTTGCTTAGCAAATCGACCTTAGAAAAAAGGGATAAAGCAGAAGTAACCGGACCAATGCTGCCGTGCTAAGGAAGAACGCCGTATGAACATTCTAGAGTTGCCAAATTTCCTTCGATGGAATGTTTATCATTGAGGAAAGTTATGAATATTTTTCCTTGACGTTTTCAGGAACTTTAGATCCAAATACGAACAGAATTCTCTGAAAATTTGGATGAAAAATATTCATATGTTTTCCAGGAAATTCCTGTTTTATCAAAGAAAATTTGGCAACGCCTGAAGATTCATACGGCGTTTTTCCTTGCCACAGCAGAATGCTCCTAATAATACTTTTCCCTACCCCGCTTGCCAGGCAGGTAGTCTTAATCGTAAGTTAAGCTGATAAGCAGTCTTAAGCTGAGTTATTCATTCAAAGCTGAGCGCAAAATATCTCATTCATGAAGAAAAATATTAGACCCATTCTGCCATGCTTAGGAAAAACGCCGTATGAGCCTCTAGGCGTTGCCAAATTTCCTTTGATAAATCATGAATTTGTGGGAATATATGTAAACTTTTTTCTTTCAAGTTTTCGGGGAATTTCGTTCGTAATTTGATCCAAATAGTGTAAAAGTTTCAAGGACAAATATTGATAACTTTTCTAAAAAATAAGCATTTTATAGGAGCACTGGGGAAAAAAAACACATTGGATCTAGATTCCAGACTCTTGAAAACATTGACAAGAAAAAATACTCTTGATTCAATCAGATTTTTGCTTAAATCAAAAAGAAATCCGCTCAAATTAAGAGGCTTGGTTCTTGATTTGAGCAAAAATCCGATTGAATCAAGAGTATTTTTTCTTGTCGATGTTTTTAAGAGTCTGGACTCTAGATTCAATGTGTTTTTTTTTCCAGTGAGGAAATTTAGCAATTCTCGAATGTTCATACGGCGTTTTTCCTTAGCACAGCAGCATTCACCCACTTCTATGTACGTTTCTCTTGTCGAGAATCAATCGAAATACGTCTACTGCCCGCAGCGCGAAGTCCTGCACGCACACACGGGTACGTATCGGCGTCTAGATGAAGTAAGCGTTTCGACGGCGAAGGCACGTCACGGCGGCCAATGGCGAGCGGCCGGGGCGTCGGCGCCGACCAATGGGAGGCCTCCGTTGTGACATCAGTCCTATTTTTAACCCGGCGCTACGAGCGCGCTGCTCCCGCCGCGAAGCGCACCTCATCAGACCAGTCGTATCCGCGACGTCGACGGCTGGTGCTCTGCGCGGTCCGCCAACCGAGTTGTTTACCTTCCCCGCGTGTTTTTCACACCGTGTTTTCACATTTTCCTGAAGAAAATTACGCTAGAATTTTGTTACAAACCAATTTTTTATGTAGTGACTTAAGTTACCCGTGCTACGCTTCGTGTTTTCTGTTTGATCTGTTGTTGTTATACCCCGGTTCCGCATAGGCCGGCTTGTTGCGTTGTTTATGTGGTACGCTCGAATACAAGTGCTGTAATCTTCGGGATTTTTATGGATTTTTTGAGACTATAATTTTGTCGTCGTTCAGCTGTTTTGTTTTAGTGTGGCTTTTGAGTTCGTAAAGGATTACGCAAGCTACCGTGGGATTTATGAGCACTACAGACGAAGGTAAGCAGGCATGGAAAAATTCTGATTTTCTCTTTTTATATGTTCCTCTGAGAGAAGGGGCTGAAGGCGAGACCCGTGGTTTTTCTTGAATTTTGCGAAAAAATATTGGCATAGCTCAGGCGAATCGATACTTGTGTACTAACTTTACCTTTCCAATTGCTGAAGATTTCCCAACATTCCAGAAATTTTACCATCCAACAAATGCGCACAGCTGACTCTCGTTTTCAGATCCTACTTTCAGCCGGCTTGGCTTCACTGAAAAATTCATTGAAGACTTACGCTGATGCGGGAGGGGAAAGGTATACAGGGACATCGCCCGTGCCCGTATGTACTGTAACGCTACTACTAAGTAATTCTTTCGAGAATCTATGAGGGACCAAGACCCCCATTGTTCTCTCTTCCTTTAAAGCTGGATAGACTTGCTGATGCTTCGTGAGCACTCGTGCAAAGGCGGAACTAGGAACTTTTTGGGAGTGGGCCAGGGGGTACCTCATTAGGGGAATCTGGTGAGGGCCACTGAAAGACACCCCACCATAGGAGGAAATCTGTGGGACTCCATAGGGAGGTTTGTGGGATTTCTCTGGCTCCAAAGGAAACGTTTTGCTGTTCTCACCGAAAAATTGATGTAAGTACAATTTCAAAGATGGAAGACACGTTACACACTTACATACTTGGCAAAATCCCTCATATTTCTTGGGAGGGGCCACGTAGATTTTTGGGTGAAGGGTTCACCCTTTTCCATCCCTGCACTTTTGAATTGCGAACGCATATCAATGAGAGGAGGGATAGTCATCCACAAACAGTATCAAACGAGCAATATAGTTACAGGTACACAAGGATGAAAAATCATGTTTCAAATAGAGGGTTGGATGAAAAGGTACAGAAACGGCTGTTGTAATTCCGAGGAGCTTTTTGTTCCTGTTCAAATGGGGAGCAAGTTTTTACTTGAGCAACTTACATTACTTAGCAAAATCCCTCATATTTCTTGGGAGGGGCCACGTAGATTTTTGGGGGAAGGGTTCACGCATTTCCATTTTTGAATTGCGAACGCATATCAAAATGTGGAGGGATAGTCATCCACGAACAGTATCAAACGAGCAACGTAGGTATAGGTACACAAGGATGAAAAATCATTTTGCAAATAGGGGGTTGGATGAAAAGGTACAGAAACGGCTGTTGTAATTCCGAGGAGCTTTTTGTTCCTGTACAAATAAGGAACAAGCGTCGCTACATAACGTCGCTCCTCTGACGTAAGGGCGTATCTCGATTTTTGTATGAGACCCAGAAAGCATGGATTGTAAAATAGAGCTCACGTGGGAATCAAGATACGCCCTTACGTCAGAGGGGCGACGATAAGAGGGAGAGGTTCGTGGAGAGCTGTTTGGCGCCTATCCTCCTGGAGGAGCACCTCACAATCCTTTAAAAAGCTATTAAAAGACCAAAGAGGTGACCATAATTCCAAGTTTCTGCATAGTACGAAGCAGATTCCTTTAAATTTTCAAAGAGATCTGTATAAACATTCTCTTGTAAAAAATTAAACTGCCCAGTTAAATGTGGCATTAGCTGATGTGGCTTAGTTCCTTTCTGCTTAACGCGGTCCAAATGTGATTTTATTCCCCACACTATCCAGTCGAAAGAAGGTAATAAGTATCCCCTTGTTCCTTACGCGTAAGTATTGAGAATGGAAAAAAAAAAACCTTTGAAAGAAACGAACTCTTTTGCGAAGTTTTAGAGGAAGTTGGAAAGTACAGAAAGAGACACATCGACGGTGAAACTACCAAACCACGTATCTCGTTTGCGGTGTTTAAAAATCTACGCTCGCATTTAATTTTTTTGAAGTCGACCAAATCAATATCATTCCTTGAAATTTTCACAGAATTTTCTCCGCACAAAGAGGAAAAATCACAGAAATTTTCAAGACTAGACGTTAAGTAGTTTTTCATTTAAAAAATAAAGTATGACAGGAAGTCTGCGACGTCGCAAACCGAGATACGTGGTTTGGTAGTTTCACCGTCGACATGTGACTACGCCTACACCATTCACTTCCTAATTTTAGTAATTCGTTTCAAAGTCACAAAGTCATCTAAAATTTTTACCACAGAACTTTTCACGCATAGTGTCATCTTTCTTGTCAGGACACATGCTGCTTAACTTAAAAGTAGGTGCTTTGCATTATCCGCTCAGTGAAAAGCTCCAAATTGGAGAAAGACATGAGAATACGAGTCGTCATTTTAAAAGCCTGTCAACTTCGTGCTCGTGAGGACCTAATTGCCCAAGTGGCATTTTTCAGCGGAAAAATTGCGATATTTTGAAATTAGGTTGCGATTGTTTAAAAGATTTTTCGGCGATAAGATCGACAGGATCATCAACGTTTGAGCGATTATCCTCGATGGTGTCGCAATTTTATGTCTACAAAGTCGCCATTGGTAAAATTGGAATCTTATCGCAATTATTTATTTAGACTTTTGTTCGATAATATTGTGATAAATCGCCGTAGATAAAATCGCAATTATATTGCAAATTTATGCGATGAAATCGAAATTTATACCGATATTTTATCCAATAACATTGAGATAAATCGACATTGATAAACTTGCGATACATCCTCCAATCAAATCGCAATTTATCGCGATTGCTGCTACTTCGGTGTATAGAAACATTCCAAAAGCTCAGATATTATTGTGGACTTAATGGTGCAATTTACAAAACTTTACGTGAGATTACAGGAAATGAAAGCGGCAAAACCCGGCTGGCGAGCCGTGTTGATACTTCGAGTTTCAAACGACCCATTAAATCACATGGCGAGTATTATTTAAGGAGAGTAAAAAAGAAATACAACAAAGTGAACTGCCTCACCTCTTGTGTCGCTATGACCAGTTATAGCTTTCACTCACTTACAGTCAGGTTCGCATGAACGAAAGAGAACACGAAAGCATTTCAATTTCGGCAATAGGGCTAAACGAGCAATGCCGTAAAATATGTGAGAAAGGAAATAAATATAAAAAATTCGAGAAAAAACCTATCAGGATCAGGTCACAGTTTGTTTCTCATCGATTAGGTCCCTTGACTTCAAAACATGCCCAGACCTGTTGCTCTGCACTATTACGGCAGATGTTGCAAAAATTCGAGGACGAGAGAACATAAAAAATATGAAATGCATTAACGATATGTCGAGCCACTTTAAAATTATTTGCTAAAAATTAGATAGGAAAGTCAATAAATTGCTCTTTGACATCAATGTTCCCTCAGCTGCTTTCACGCCAGATGCCCATCCAGTTTTTATGACTGTAGGTCAGCTTAACACTTAAATTTTCATGGAGAAAAAAAAATGAAATGAAGTAAACTTGTCTCGCAAATTCATATTTCTCCTTGAAATTGAAATAACATGGTATACTCGTATGCAGTGCAGACATAACAGTGAACAGTCTAGAATAGGTAACCACGGAAAAGAAGTCGTCTGTCCATGGAGTGAAACTACAGGAATGCTCATTTCGTTTACAAAATTTCAAATTCTTCCCTCTCGTTTTATTTTTTCAATGCAGAACAAACCAACCCTATCGCTTGCAATTTTCACAGAATATTCTTTACAAAGAAAAGTAGAGTCAACGAAGTTTACAAGGAATGACGTTCAGTATTTTCATTTAAGAAATAAAGTAAAACAGGATGTTTTACGTCTCAAACAAAGATTTGCGTTCCAGTTTTTTCACCGTCAATATGCTGCAATTGTAAACTTTGTATCGCCAAAGTTTTTTAACCTCACGTTAAAAATTATAAAAAAAAGTTCTCACTTGCCCGTTAATTGATGTCGCGCTGAAGAAGCCTATCAGAAGAGAGCGAAACGCGTCCTCATAAATAAAATTAAGTAAATAGATAGGAAGACGGATAAATAGATAACAGTTTTTATTTTATGACAAGAAAAATTTTACAGGTTCGATAACATCTAAGATTAGTGCACGTAAATCTATGGCACAAAGACGGTTAGGGGGATTCTTATACGGAGGAAATAAAATCAATTAATGTGCAAATGAATAATAATTTTTTAAAATTTCTGAAAAAAATTGACGTATTCTCGTGCGGCCTCCGAGAAGATTTTCGTTTTTATTCGTTAGAAATTATAACAAAAACTTCTCTCATTACAAGGTTTCATTCAACCACAAGTCAATGGAATCCATCTGGTTTCCTAAATAGGGAATTTACAGGTGTCTGAAATTCGATGAACTTCATGTTTAAGTGGAAACTACTGAGTAAACTGAGCACGAGAATACCCTTGGTTCATGATTTGAACAATTATTGGCGAATATATGACAAAATGATACAATCTACTAAAATACGTGTGTTTAAATGGGAAACGCCACACATGACGTCACTAGGCGGTGCATTTTCTTACTTTTAAATCCATAATTATACTATTTCCTATATCAGAAAAAAAAATTATAAAAAATACTGTTGAATCAGCTCTTTAAGTACTTTCAGATGAAGCAATACAAAATTTGCTTGCAAATTCTCCATTAAGGGCAGTCTTTTTGGAGGCTTCTCACACTTCAGGGAAAGAGTCATGGTCATTGGTTATGGGGAGATCCAGCTCTCCTCCTCACTTTTTGGAGCGACGCGCTGCGACCCCGTGAAATATGCAATAAAACAAGGCGGACCAGACTTTATTCCCTTTTCTCCCGGGGAATATTTTTTTTTATGCTCGTGTCGTTTAAGCCTTGCTCTAATTACTTCAAATGGTTACCATCATTTAAATTAGACGAGGGACAGAGCCGGGGGAGGACGGCCGGCCCGGCGGCGCGGTGCGGCGGCGGCACGGGAGACGATGGTTTCACCTCATTTTTTACTAACGGCCACTAAACGATCTTCCTCCAAAGTTGTCAAACTCTTTGAATTATTTCGTGGAATCCTAAACTCATGGCATGTTTTCGAGTTTGAACGATCAATTTTCAGAGAGAATTATTTTCGTATGCTACATTTTAAACACACGCACATCATATCCAAAACTA